ACCTATGGAGCTTGTATATACAGGTCTGGTTTGTACCTATCTAGCTTGTATAGTGTATGGAAATGGTTTGTACCTATGAAGCTTGTATATACAGGTCTGGTTTGTAACCTATTTAGCTTGTATAGTGTATGGAAATGGTTTGTACCTATGGAGCTTGTATATACAGGTCTGGTTTGTAACCTATTTAGCTTGTATAGTGTATGGAAATGGTTTGTACCTATCTAGCTTGTATAGTGTATGGAAATGGTTTGTACCTATCTAGCTTGTATAGTGTATGGAAATTGTTTGTACCTATGGAGCTTGTATATACAGGTCTGGTTTGTAACCTATTTAGCTTGTATACTGCATGGAAATTGTTTGTACCTATGGGGCTTGTATATACAGGTCTTGTTTGTACCCATCTAGCTTGTATACTGCATGGGAATTGTTTGTACCTATGGAGCTTGTATATACAGGTCTGGTTTGTACCCATCTAGCTTGTATACTGCATGGGAATTGTTTGTGCCTATGGAGCTTGTATATACAGGTCTGGTTTGTACCCATCTAGCTTGTATACTGCATGGGAATTGTTTGTACCTATGGTGCTTGTATATACAGGTCTGGTTTGTACCTATCTAGCTTGAATACTGCATGGGAATTGTTTGTACCTATGGAGCTTGTATATACAGGTCTGGTTAGTAAAAGGAGCTTGTTTATACAAACCTGTTATTGGAATGCACAGGTACTTCCACTCCATATGCGGAGGTTGTACGGCGGCGAGCCCCCTCCTCTGATTGGTCTAGATCCTGCCCGGAGTGATTGTGCCCGCTGTACATAGTGCCCAGTTTGTTGCCCGGTTTGCGACTGGCCAGAACCGGTCGCCAAGGTCGTAGACGGACTACGTATAAACACCAACAGACGGTAGTCTATGATACACGGATTAGCCCAGGTTTGCAAGGATGAGGTCACAATCGCTTTTCGAATATCCTAGCATAACTATGGCTCGAGATCTATCATAATCGTGTTAAAAATTACTTCTGTATTTCCCGTTTCATATAGTAACTAGGCCTAGTAACATCAAATAAATTGAATGTCTGACAAGAGTAGCTACTTATTGGTTCGTGCCGATTTCCGAGCAGGTGCGCCCACACATTCGTTGCTTTCCGAGAAGTCTGTTGCGGTAATAGTGAATATTCGTCAAAATAGTTCAGGAAACAACAAGCCCTGTTCAGTGTTCACCTATTGACGAGTAGACAGTAGCAGTTGACCACACACGTGCTTGGTGGATCCTGGATGTGCTGACTGCGGACCCCCCTTTAGGAAATACTTTTGTTTTTCAAAATTGGCACTTAGACACTGACAAATGCCTAACAAAGCTTGTAAAATGAAACAAACAACCTGCCAAGCAAAACTAAAGCTACTTCTACCCAAGTTACTTTATAAGCTGTATTGTGGCACACAAGTATATCACATAACAGCAAGGTTTAATGTCAACATTGTAAGCAGCAAGCTTCTAGATTTTAGTTCATTTAAACGCCATAATCCAGCTGTGTTTGTTATGTTTTTACTCGTAGCCAAGTCTAGCTTCAATTAAATACAATTTTTAGTTAAAAAATTATACTCAACACAGAAAAAAAACTACTTAAATACAAACGTAAATCTAAACTATCACACTCAACTTATAATCTTATGACCCCCATACCCCACCCCTTTATTGGGGACAAAATAAAATTTATAGCTAAAAACGAAGAAGAGACAAGATAGGGCAAGGGTAGAATGGGGCGGCGCTTGGAAGATGAAACCGGCGTTGCTTGGAGATTCGATCGCCTCAAACGCGACCATTTGATGTATTTCTCAATGATACAGAAATATTCCTTCCCCAGTGACTGATGGTTTCCTCAAATGCTATAAAACCGAGCAATGCGTCAAACCCTGGGCGAAGCTTGAGGGTGAACAAATACAAAATCCCACGATTAAGATTGCCAGTTTATTCGAGTACTTAACCGATTTACATTTCACAAAGTACGTGTTCGGTGAAGGTCATCCGTATGTTTTTATAGATTTGAATCTTTTATGCTAATAACCTAATAAAGTGGTTAAATAATCTAACAAATCATGCCACATAACGATTACATGTAACACAAGTTTTTAAATTCTGTATTTGTAGATTAGCAGCGATGTGGTAATTATAGTGATGTTTATAATTTGGCTCACCTTGAAAGCGAACGTACGATTAATATGAAAAATTACTTTCGCACTTGTTAGCTGATAAATAGCGTCGCGTATGTAACGTATAAACATAGTTGAAAATACTGTACGTGGATTTCAAACTCCTTTACGATTGCAATCAAAGAATATGCACACAACAGTTTCCATGGATGTTTTGTTGATATGTTTGGTATTTACTGGTACAGTAGAGAAATTAAAATATGTTGATAAATTGGGTTGGTAACTACAACTGTATAAGTATTTAAGTAAGCATACCATTTTATGGTTCGAAGTATTATTTGTATGTTCATTTGAAAAATCTGTCAGGCACCAGTGCACTGGTTAAAAAATTAAAAGTAGGTACTTTCGTTAGAGCAAGTAAAAAAATTGCCGATTCAGAACTCGGGACCATAAAAGGAAAGTCATATTTGATAAAACTAGCATTGGTCCTTTAAATGATATTGCCAGGGCTTTAACAAGATATTTAGGTCTGTATAAGGTTTATTTTTGTAGTTTTTACTTTTCCTAAACATTTAACACGGGCTTTCCACAGTTTTTTCTGCAAAAGATGGCCTTTAACGTTTTTGTCCCTAAATACCTAATGCGTTATTGTTGTAATGTACAAGCGATTTCTAAAGATTATGTTTCTAAAAAGGTTTTAAAAATACTCGGCGCAAATAATGCTTTGTTGTACACAATACTAATATAAAAGACTGATACATCCAATATTTTAAGTAAAAATAATGTGTAGGCTACACTTAGCTGGTTATAATTGTTATTCACACATATAATAGGAACTATGTACTTTATGGTTTACAAATTGCAATAAACACATATTTTCAAGTGAGGAAGGTGTTGGCATATTAGCCGTCGGCCGCTTAAGAGGATCAATCACAAATTTTGAAGCAGAGGTAAAATTAAAGTTTGTATTTAACCAGATTTTTGGAAATGAATTTTTGCTGATAAAACGTTTATAGACACCAATAAAAAAAGTTTGGATTGTATGTAACAATATTTTTTAAACAGCCATTTTATTCATCTTTAACCATCTATGACCGAAAATGTGTAACTTAAATGAAATTTGAAATTCTATATCGATTTATAATACTGTTATGGTAGGTTGTTATACCATGGGTTTATTTCCACTCATCAATACTAATGCATTTTTACACTACAAAATTTATAAATACACAATTTTTTCTAATGTAAATTACAAATTATGTACATTTTATATTCATTTTTCTTATATGCTGAATATTATTTGGAATACTGTTAAATCATAAATGTTTTACAATTTTAAAAATCGTTTTAATTTGGCCATATATATATATAAGCTACTCTTTGGCAAAGTGCGGTTGAAAGAAATAATAATTAATGTTCCCTTTTTACAAAAAAAGGAGATTAATTTGAAAACTATAAAATTATATTAAAACTTAGAGCGGTTCTATAATAATATGCAGAGGTTAAGGCGTTCCCCACCTTACGATAAAAGGATAATCAAGGTTGAGCAAGATTTAATTATTATTTACGAGAAACCGGTAAGCATATTGATAAAACCGCGCCCACAAACCCAAACTTATCAAGATAACAGTGATAAAATTTAAAAAATTCTAACAAGTTTAAGTTTCAAAATAATCGGGGAATTTGTTTTACTGCGAGAACAACTTAAATTGTGTCAAAATATAACAAATACTACTAGATGGTTATAATATCGATGATCATTTTGTTTCATAACAAATATCCAAAGCTGGTACCACACCTAAATAAAATAATAAAATTTCATAACATAACATATATTTGCGTTCGATAGCATTGGTACATTTCCAAACTGTATTTTGTTTTTAAAAAAATAGCCCTATACGAACTAAAATTCTTACAAAAATCACACCTAAAAGCCAAAAGCGGGATTTAGTCGAGTTAAACGATCACATTTCGAAAATCGGGCCATAGCTACAACGCTAGTGAGCTCAGTAATCGAATGGTAATTAATTCGCCCAGAATGATAATGGAGAATAATTAAATGGGTGCCCTATTTGATATGACAGCTGTCAGAGAACATTTGACAAGATGTTTTGGTTTGGCACTCCCGGAGGAATTAATTTATTATAGTAAGAGTTGTTATAATTTAAACTAGAATTTCTAATTAGAATTTGTCAATGATTCTAATGACCTTAGCCGTTTCCTTGCGCAAAAATGAATGTGAACGATTTGATCTTGACCGTGAATTAATGCTTAACAATTCTTCAATTGAATTAATGCTATACGCGTCAAAATGAAATAAAATGTGATACAAGTATGGTAAATGGAGGTGCATAACTATCTTGAGCAGTCCTATAATTTATTCTTACGAAAAGAGTTTGCCAAGTAGAATGCATCTTAGAATTCTTCTTTTAAAACTAAATTTTGAAAACACGATAGTCAAGACACAGGCAAAAGTGAATTTACACCCCCACAAACTATTTGAAATAAAGATACTTTCAGTGACATCGATTGAAGTTTGATTTTTTATTCCATCACTCATAATTAACAACACTATAAGATTTTTCCCCATAACTTATAATTACCAATTTGTGCAAAAATAAAACAAAATATAAATACAAATTTTTGTGAAGTCCAATTATTTCAGTTGATAGATGTTACATGCACAAGTCAGTCAAGAAAATATATCAACATTTCAAATAGGAATCCATAACCTGCAACTTATTTTAAACATATTAAAACTTTTCAAAACTCAACAATAAATCCTGAGTAAGACTTAAACATTTTAAATTACTCAACAAAAATATTTTTAAACAAAGCTGTGGCAGTCTTACCTGTCAAAACCATGAAGGCAGCTGCTAAGATAAGGTTAGCCATGACGCGTGGAGTCGTGTGCAGTAGTGTGGAGAGGTACACCCTTACTGGCAAGACGCGCACGAGATACTGACGCGCGGAGCGGAGCGGCGGAGCGCGGTAAAATGGTGAGGCCGTTTGGCGATACTAGCGCTCAATCGTGCCGTGGCAAAGGGCTGCATTGAACATCACGCCACTATCGGCCACCTGCTTTTCCATTATTGCCTTAGTACGTCACTGTTTGCCCTCCGAGCCTTCTAGAAGCCGGATCTGGAAAAAATGTTTGGGGACTCCGTTCAATGGCAATTTTGAAATAACGAAGAACGAAGCCACTTCAGAATTACCAAATTTAGGGAAGAGTTTAAAGGTCCGAAGACGGCTGGATGATTTAAGGTGGTTCCAGTGGCTAAATGGCAAAATCAGAAACCTATCCTACTTTACATTATTTCCCGTTGAAGAAATCAATGCTGGCTTAGGTTTTCAATTTTTTAAAGGCAGTCTATTGGTCACTGATTAGAATTTTTGTACCGATTCCAAGGGACTTGTTGTTCAATCCTGCAACACATTTCCACTCGTATTTTTCACAATGATTGATTTAGAACATGGCAAAGTAAAGGTCCTCTCTACTAGTAGACCAGATTATTTGTTAGATAATATTATTGTTGTGAAGCGAAACTGAAATATTTGCATAAGTCAGGGTGGTTTAGGCGTTCTCAGATACCCTTTTCCCTTTGCGGTTTACAGGAACTCGGACAAATACGGGACTGTCCGGGAGTCCGGGAGGCGTCTCAGAAAACCAGAAAAACGAGCCAGGATAGGAGCTGGCGACTCAATCTAAAGATTTGGTCGGAAACCTTGGTAAGTTCTATTTACATTAAAGATGATCGTCTTGCTTAGGGTTTTGAGGGTTTTTATTATATATACAAGCATACTTAGATCTTTCTCAAAAAGTTGAAAACGCTGATTGCGTTCAGCATTTTAAATCCTGTTGGTGGCTTACATTGGCATTACACATCTCATCCACTGATAATGACACAGTTTCTGTTGTCTGAATATCAGTACAAGAGTCTATGAAAACGTTGAAGCCTAGTGGAGTAAAGTAAGATCCAAGGGAATTTCTTAAAAGGTAAAAACCTGAAACTTCAATAATCTGTAGTAGTTAGCGTTTCTATAAGTTCGTTGGATCTTGGATGAGATAGACGTTTTTAGAAGCACATATACAACCACAACAGGCGAACAAATACACAGATTAAAATCACTTCACACGTACACACACAAAACAAGGAAGAAATTCTGAAGATTCTTCACGATTGGCCTTCAAGACTGCGGAGAAGAGGAGCAAGAATTGGAGTCATCAAAGGAGTCAGTAGCCACCGAAGTAATCGCAAGTGGACATGTTTTATAAAATTGATTGAAGGGTTTAAAATGCCTGTCTAAGAACTTGATCCTTGTGTTGAATCGTAACAGTTAAGACGGTGAAACACTATCGATCTTTTCCCCGAACCGAGCAGGGAGAAGGGAGGTCGAAGGGAGCATATTCGATAGTGTGTCAGGAGTCCGTACACCGATCCAGACGGCGAACCAGACATCAGGCCGAGCAGGGAGACGAGCCCTCTGGAGGCGGTTTTTTGGCGAAAGATCAAAGAAAAGATCGGTCCGATGTACGGAGTGATGTAAGTGTCACGGTATATTTTTACGCCGTACGCCATCGCGAGCGCCGCACCGAGCGGCCGCCTGCGCTGGCGTTGATAGTTCTAATTAAAAAATGGCAATTTAACTTTTTAATTTTGGTAAAATAAATAAATGTTGGTTCATATTTTGCCGTTATATATTATGGGCATTTATGTTGTAATTTTGTGGTTTGTTTGATCAAGGTTGAAAATGCATTTTACAACTTGAAATATCAATTGTATCAATAATGTTAAACTTGCATTAAGAAATAATTGATTTTTTACTTAAATTCTTTCAAAATGTATATACAAATTAATATTATTAAAGGCAGTTAATAAAATTATAATTCTGTAACATCTTATTTCATGTTTTATTACTGTTTAATTATGACTGCCTTCGCGCTCTCACTCACACACGCTCTCCATCTATCTCCAAACTCCCTTTTGCCGCGCTCAGTAGAACTCGTCTGGTCTTGGTCTTGTTCGGGGAAATGTTCGGATTGAAATTTTGCTGATATTTACCTCCCTTCTCCCTACTCCCTGCTCGGTTTGGGGTCTTGATCGGGGAAAAGATCGATCGTGTGTCCCCGCCTTTACTGCAGAATAGACTAATTATTTATGATCATAGTTTAGTGATTACCGCAACAACGGACGGTCTCATTCACCTCGTAAATGCATGCTGGGTCGATCCTGAATAATGTAAAATATTTTTTTCATAAAAATAAACTATTCGTTAGGTATCTCCGTATGACATAATACTGCTTTCTTCTAAAATGTTTTAGATGTTTAGCGAAGCCTTGAAACTCGTACACTCTTGGTTTTACAATAATTAATGTTCGTTATATTAAATCATAAATGAAATTGATGGTGGTAATTCTCTATGGCAAGGACTCTACGCTCTGCTTAGAATAATACTTGTTATACTTTTTTCATTCTTCTGTTTCACTGTTATAATTGTTCGTTCTTATCTATTCTTTGTTCATTGTTTTCTTTGTTTTTCTTTACTCGTTTCTGCTATTAGTGCCTCATGCTGTTACCGTAGTAATGAATAAATTAAGCATTGTTCGGTGTTTATTTTACTTACTGATATGTTTTTTTTTTTCAATGCTACTATCTGTATACCTGTTGGCACTTTTTATGCATTTAAAGCCATTGCGAGTATACTGTATGTGTATCCTCTTTATAAAAGTTTTAGTACCGTGGTTAGAAAAATAAGTGAACTTAATGTACAGTTACAAAGGGCGGGCATTAATTGCGCCAACTGACCTGAGTAATGTAGTTGGGTATTTCTGAATTGCGCCAACTACTCCAGAGAGCCATCCGATACGTTCCTTGACTGCACCAAGTGGCGGTCCTCTTTGACTGTGTAAGGTTGGACTGTAGTAGGTTAGGTTATTTCAGGTTAGGATGACACGTAAACTAGGACATTCCTTCTGCCGGCAACTCACCCCTGCCTGGCTAGGCCTTTGCGCAGGATTGAAACGTCACGAATAACAAGAAGAACTAAGGAAATTTTTTTGGAACCCTTTGAGGGCTTGGTGCAATTAAGGTAGGTACTATCTGGCGCAATTAATGCACGACGGTTAAAAATCTGATGTGCTTACTACGATTGGGAATTTAGCCAAGCTTTCGGGATTTTCAGCTCAAATTCTAATTTTTATCTGTATCCTGAAACTACTCCATCTTGCGTGAACCTTTTGTAAATAATTGTGATATGACACGTCTTAAATGGCGGCTTCCAAGTGCGACCCAGTAACCTATATTTGCCAGCTTGTTTTGTTTACATTTTGTAAATCTGTGCCACTCTGGTGTTTGTAAACTACCCCCTGATTTCCTTTGGCCCCTAGCCATTGTTAATGACGTCGAGGAGTTTGTTGCTTAATCTGTTACCATTGAAAAATTCCACTCTGTATTTGAATTTTGTTTTACGTTTGGAATTCAACACGAGTTTTACGTGTTGTGAATTCCTATACAAGTTCTGGTGATATAGTTGCGAAACATACATTTATGTTATTCGAAAATTGCACTGGTTGGTAAAACCAGAGGGCAAGGAGTCTAAGTGCTAAAATACAAGCATCGATTAAAGGAGTACACGTGTCTACTTGTGAACTAACCGAAGAGACCCAAGAATTATTAATTCAATGATGATTTTTCTAGGGACATGTTAACAAAAAATATTTGTTTAGTATAAAGATTGTAATTTTTAAAAAAAATTATAATATGAAAAAAACCCCGTTCAATCAATTGTGATGATTCTGGTTTCAAATTAAAGGTAATCAAATTCACTTTAAATTAATGTAGTTTATCATCGTATGTACAAAATTTTAAAAAATTATTATTTTTTTTTATTTGATAGGCCTAAAATTGTTTTGATTGAGCACAAAAATATTTTTTACTTAGACTTGTGATCCAATACCATTCAAAAGACGAGAAAAGTTAGCTTATCATTTTACTAGTAATATACACACAAGTTAATCCCTCTATCTTCAAGGGTCTTGCAATATCCATTTTTGTAAAATAAAAAAAAATTGAAAAATTTAACTTCCGTATGATGGCGATCGAAGTTAGGCAACTTCCCAAACGTAATAAAGTGTGCAGTATTTACAAAAAATCAAATTTCACGATTCAAAAAATGAATTATGTTATTTCTTAGATATATTTTTTCGTTTAGAACTAAACAAAGTATCTTTTAAGACTAAAAACCCAGATTTTTAACGGTACGGGTTGATTCTTAATTGTCTGTTTACGGATAGCGAATCCCCTTAATCAATCAATATAAACCGTAAGCAACTTCATCTTACAACAACACAAATATCCATTTAGAGTAACAGCTGATTCAATGACAGTAATAATTTGTAAACGTGTTTTTGCTTCCACTTTTTCAGCTTGGATGCTAAGAACGGCCCATGTACTACTAGCTAAAACTATTGTTCAATAACAACAATACACACATTGGTGCAATTGATGTAATTGAAACAGTTAGTGTATTGAGTGTATTACCGTTGAATAACCAAACAATTAAAACAGGCTATAGTAAGTAAACATTGAGTTGTAGGTTGCAGGGCTGTAGGCGCTCCTCACGCCACCTCCTGCTTCCTCATATCCAGTCACCATTGACGTCATTCTTAGTCACACAGGCTATATACTATTAGTATGGGTTGTAGGTTGTTCAGTGGGTTAAGGTTGTCCAGCAATACATTCAAGTTTAAAGAATTCAAAACTCTAAATCCATGGCGTATTTAAAATGTCGAATTCTTTATCCACGATTGATGGCAAACATCATGCCCCAAATTGTTAGGGCACTTTCCATAGAGAATAAGCTATTACTCTAATTTCAAGACCTAGATCCGGGACGGATAATTTTGTAGTTTTTCCATAAACATCAATAACTGCTACATAGTTCTGC